TGTGTGGTGTTTATTGTCATGAACTCCTTCTCGAATGTGGACAACTCGCCAGACACTTTCGAGTCAATAAGATTCTTTGTCGCTCTCGATTCCGCTAGACGCTTCACTCATCTCATCTTCATCGTTCTTTCTCCATTCTGCCTGTATAAGAATCCATTCTGAATTCTTCGTCTAGCTCTCCCACCTTACTCTGTCGGCTTTGCAACCACAACTGCGTAAGTAGTAGTGGGTGAACCGTTAGATATTTCAGGTGTAATTTTATTCTGCGGTTTTTCTAACCCTTTTGCAACGCATTGCTCTCAAAGTGCTACAATGCCTGCGACACCCATGATATACCGAAGGCTATTTCACAGTTAGTACTTCACATAGCAAGCACCAATTTTCAAGTTTAAATTAAGTGATTCCTATTGCAACTAGAAATCATTCCTAATTATTAGATACTTTTAAATTAAAGGGACTACTTTCGTCAGTTTACATCTTATTTTGATTTGCTGGGATGTCCCAGTCAATTTCTGTCATTTGTGCGACTGCTTTTTAATCTGGTTGGGTTGTGGTCGTGTCAACAGTATGCACTTGAGACCTCAGTGACGATGGCTTCCACTTCTATCCACAGTCAAATAGGGAGAATGGTTTCGGTTTGCGCACCAACACAGTCCATCTGTCGAAACATTCTCTCGGCCAGACAGAATTTGCGCTTTTCCATCATTGTTTGCTGAGAAAGAGTTTGTTTCCCTTTACTCAGTGCTTCACGAGCATCTGTTATCCCGTGGAGTGGTGAAGCACGAGAGCGATTTCATCCGCATAAATCCACTTCCCCTATCCCTCCCTCTTTTGCAGTCCCTTGCAAACACCTGCCTTCCCAACACTCACTAGTAAGGTTATGTCAGAAAAAAAGAACATTTGAGCATGATACATTTCCCTCGAGTCGAGGATGGAATGGGATATTTGTCCATGCGACATAGTCACGACAACGGAGCGCAGTGTGCTTTTGGGAACAGATGAACTTTTACTGCTCTTTTACTTGCTGACGGCAGCTGCAAAACAAGAGCGTCAAATGCACTTTGTTGGAAAAACCCCTCTAATAATATGCGTCTGATAGAAGGAAGGGGAAAATTGCAATGCTTTTCTGTTGTTTGACATAGATTACCTTCGAAATCCAGTTCTGCTCAGTAGCAGTGCAGCCGCACCATTCTGTTATCTCTTAAGCCCTTCTGTAGGCTGGCAATAAATAATCCGCACACGCATTATATCCACTTTTGACTTCAAAGCAGTGTGAAGGCGCTGCATTTGTGGCAGCACTAATCTGGGTACAAAGCATTGTTGGAGCAGAAGAAGCATATATGCTGGGGGTTGTAGAGTAAGTGTCATACGCACCACTAATTAGATGACGAGGCATTTAGAAGAGAACATGTCTATGATGACAAAAAACAGTCTTATATTGCAGTCTTAAATTACGTTTCCATTTGCTAATTTCAGGCCGATCATCATGAAGCTCACGTTAGCTGGTTAAATAAAACAGCAAAATTGCGTTTAAACTCAACGCGATTTTCGGAAATAAAGGACATCTTTAGATTGGCAGGCTATCTGTGATCGTCATTTAAATCCCAAATTTTAGTGGCAAAAGTAGTAGATATCGGACAAACTGACATAACTAATAAGAATATCCACGAATTTACAGATAGCATTACTATTCCGAAGTTTTACAAGCCGCTACACACCTCTCCCCCTACCTCAACGGTTCTACTAGTATTTTATATTTAACGATCCAATCAAAGATGAGCACATTGTGTTGTCTTTCGCTTTTCCTGTCCATGCCGTATGCAATAGCAGCTGCTGTCGGCTCATTGATGAGACGCAGCATATTTAAACCGGCTATTTTCGCTGCATCTATTGTGGCATTTCGTCGGTTGTCATTGGAACACGCAGGCACAGTAATCACTGC